ATATTCTCACCGACTTTTTATTATATGGTCTGCGGGATGTGCGCGCGCGACTCGGAACGCCTGGACGAATTTCCCCTTACCAAGCTCATATTATTTTTTCCAACGTAGAATTGGGCAGCAAGAAATAATATTTGCGACACTGGCCAAGCATGGTATTGGTATTTCATTTCATATGCTGGATGATCGCATTTTCCAGCTGCCGCCTGTATCTGTCCGCCGTTCATCCACCCTGAAATGGAATTTTACGCCAGCTGGGTAGATAAAAAGTCTTCTTTATGGTGGACTCGGAAATATCAGCGGACATTTCCTTGTCGTTACGAAGCTTCTCATCGTGTTTCGTTGTGGTCGGAGTGTGACCGTGCAAAGATCAGACTCGATGTTATGGTACCCGTCAGATAATTTAGCAGTTTTTGTAAATCAGCTGAATAAAATCCTCTTCACATGGTACTCGCACGCACTCCAAACTGAGCAAGGCAACAAAAAATTATATTACTGAAAAACACTTGATTCAATGAAAGGCGAGTTCCTAAACAAGCATCCGCGGATTACAACAAAGCAAGTGAACAGTTGCAACATAAATAAATAATTGAACTTACTAACCAACTACCATCTTCTACCACCTTGCTGTCCTTGGTTGTAGCTGCTGCGGTTGTAGCCATGACTGCTACTGCCACCAGTCGTGCCGCTGCCCTGATGGGCCCCTGAAGCTTGAGCCTGTTGGGACCCGGGCCAAGGCCGAGCACCAGCACTCACCTCCTCCCCTCTACCCCACTGCCTGCTTGCTCCCTCCTCCTCTCCTTGCTGCCTCCCTGATCGCCCCCTTTGCCTCCTTGCGTACGTGATTGGTTGGTGGATGAAGAGTGAGTGGTGGTGAAGGAGGCTGTATCGGGTGTGATTATATCCCACACATACTTCCTGGGCTCTGGCTTCTTAGGCGCCCCTCTGCCCCTCTCTCGCTCCACCCTTGAACCATCACTGTCACTCTCTTCGTCCTCCTCTTCCCCCTCAGTATAATCTTCCTCTTCTCATCATCATCATCCTCATCGTCTTCCTCCTCATCTTCCTCCTCATCTTCCTCCTCGTCTTCCTCTTCCTCTTCATCTTCTTCTTCCTCCTCCCCCTCTTCTTCTTCCTCTTCTTCCTCTTCCTCCTCTTCTTCCTCTTCCTCCTCTTCTTCCTCTTCCTCCTCTCCTTCCTCCACTTCATCCTCCTCCGCTTCTACCTTCTTTTCCTCCTCCATCTCCGTCCGACCCCACTCAACCCCCTGCCTACTCACAACTACCCCTTCTCTCTGCCCATACCCCTTTCCACCACTCAGTCCCTCTCCCCACTTTCCTCCACCCCTCTCTCCACCCTTCTCACCGCTCAACGCACCCCACAACTCCTTCCCTTCACTCCCGCGGCGCGTAACACTGCTCTCGCTCTGCCTACTCTGCCCTCCACTCTCCCTCCTTTCTTCCCGTGAGCCTGGTCTATTCCAAAGGTCTACACTAATTCGACTTCCCGCCTCCCTCCCAACCCCTCCCTCCACCACCTCCCATTCTCCTTCCTCCCTCCCTCTGCTTCCTGCCCCTGTCTCCCTGCCAGCTTTCCCGATCTTCCATATTCCTACCCTCCTTACCCTCATCCCTCCCATCCCCATCCCTGCAATCCCTATTCCATCCACGCTGGTCCCAATCAACACTTCGCCTACCGTCCCTCCGCCCCCCCTTCCTCCCCTCTCACACCCCCTCTCTCCCACCCTCTCTCACCCACCCTCTGTTTCTCCCCCTCTCCAACCTGCCACGCCTTGTTTCTAGAAGCTTCCTGATTCTGATACCCTGAGAGGTCAACAGAGAGCGGCCTGACTCGAGCATGGGGGAGAGAAGGAGGAGCAATAGAAGGCGCAGGAGGAATAGCAGAGAGCAGAATCAGGAGCAGGGGAAGGGGAACGGGACCGCATCCCCCGATTCCCCACCCCAGTTCCCTGACCCTGACCCTGACCCTGGTCCATCACCCGATCCCACTCTCCCTTTCTCGCCAGCCCGCTCCCAAGCAACTCCAGATTCCCTTTCATCCGCAGCAACAGCAGCAACAGCAGCGATGGCAGCGGCGGCAGCGGCGGCAGCAGCAGGGGAGGCAGGCACGCGCGGTGGGGTGCGGGTGCGGCCATTGAAAGACTGCCCTCGCTCTCCTTGCTCAGCAAAACGACTGCCTCCTCTCCGCATGACCCGCCGCGCCGTACCGCTCCCGGTCCTTAAACGAGCCGCTCCGCTCCCCGAACCGGCCACCAGGCTCGGCAGACGAGCCAATGAGATCTCGAGATGATCTGCTCCGGCCTCTGGTCGACCCACCGAGGTCTCTAGATTCCTCATCGTCCTCCATCCTCCCACTCCGGTCCTTGAACGAGCCACTGCGGTTTCCGAACGAGCCCGACCGGTCTTTAGAAGACAGGGTGCCATCCGCAGAGGCAGCAGCAGCAGCAGTAGCAGAGCCAGGAAGGGCAAAGAGAGAAGCGCGTCGCTGTGCCACACTGCTGCCTGAAAGCTCTTTCCTCGGCCGAGGTGCAGGAGGGGACCAGTCCCTTCCCTCACGCCCCAACTGTGGCGACCAGTCTCTCCCCTCGCGGCCTTTCAAAGGGGATTTAAAGCGGTTCCGGGGGGACGGGGACGGGGACGGGGAGCGGAACGGGGAGAGGGGCGGGGAACCATCACCGTCGCGATCGCGAGTGGAGCTGGAGTGATGGTGGTGACGATGCTGATGATGATGATGGTGATGGTGGCGATTGTCTGTGTGGGTAGGTGCAGGCGGGAAAGGCGGGTTCCTTCTGTCGGCACTGTCTAGAGTGTGACTGTGACCCTTCCATTCCCTCGCTGCTGCCTCGTAATCCTCCTCCTCTTCCTCCTCCTCCCCCTCCTCCTCTCGCTCATCCTTATCCTTCCAGCCCCTGTTCTTCCCCTCTTCCTCGTCCTCCTCCTCACTCCCATCCTCTGATTTACCCACCCCATCCTCCCTCCCAACTTCCATCCATTTCTTTCCATCTGACCCTCTCTCCTTGTCACTCCCGAACCTGCGCATGAACCTGGACCCCGGACCTCCTCCCGAGCCTCCTCTGTCCTTGCCCCGGGGGCTCCTCTGGTGCGGATTGAGCTTCGGCGCGTCAGAGGAGGTTCGGAGGAGCCCGGTTTTGAGTTCTAGCTTCCTTGCGTGGGGTAGTTCATACACTCTGTTCTGCACCTTAGGCACCCAGGGAAACTCCCTGTTATCCCCCTTAGTAGCCTCCTCAGTCTGTCCGCTGGAGCGACCTTTGGGGCTGGAAGGTGTAGAAATGGTTCGCCTATGGTGCTGGTGTTGGTGCTGGGGCTGGCGCTGGTGCGGGCTGCTGTTGCTGATGATGATTAGGATTGTAGGGTGGATGAGAAGAAGCCAAAAAGGAAGCTTCCAGCTGCTGCTGCTGCTGCTCAGGTTCCCTTAAGTTCTGCCCCTCTTTACCGTCCCACTGTGTCTGACGGTGGAAACGCGACAAAAGATGATCCATCTCGCCTTCTCCCACCGCCACTACTGCCTCTTCTACTCCTCCACTCCCTTCCACTTCCTCTGCTTCCCCTCCCACTAATCCAACTGTAACAGCATCAACTGTGGTCGTACCAACACCCGCTGCTTCACCCCGCTTCCCAGCCTCATCAGCAGCACTGCAACTACCCACAGGCAGCTTCCGGGAAAACGTGAGAGAAACAGAGAGGGAGGGAGAAGCAGGGACCTCTAATTCACTCTCTCCTCCACTCTCTCCTCCACTCTCTCCTCTGCTTTCTTCTCTGCTCTCTCCTCTGCCCTCTGCTGCCCCGCTCTCAGCCCCAGTCTTCTCTCCCCTGCTCTCCTCTTCCACACACACCTCCTGCTCTCTTCCGTGCCCCGCCCTCCCTATCTGTTCCTTATTCAAAGGACTGGGATTCGCGTCTCTCTCGTCCACCCTGCTCCCCTCTGCAACCCCACCTCTCTCGCTCCCTTTGCTGCTCCCCTCTGCAACCCCACCTCTCTCGCTCCCTTTGCTGCTTCCCTCTGCAACCCCAGCTCTCTCCCTCCCCCTGCTGCTGCTCCTATCAAGACGGCTCAAAGGAGATTTGGACCGTTGATTTCTCTCACACGACGGGGGGCGAGGAGGGGAGCTACCACTGATCTGGTTACCACTGATCTGGTTACCACCAGAACCATCGTCGTCACCACCCCTGTCACTGCCTCTTCCCCTGACCCTCTCCGGCGAGCCTTGGCCCGGGCCTGGGCTCGCCAAGCCTGGCAGTGCCGAGGCTACACTGGAGGTTCGGAGGAAGCCTTGGGGGCGCCTACCCCCAAGCTCCTGTAACAGGAAGGATCGGGCGGCGCTTTGGGCGCGATGGGGGGGATTGAGGGGCGGGGAGGCATCGCGGGGGGGAGGAGAGACGCTGTGGGGAAGCGGGGGAGAAGAGTCGTGGGCAGGAGGAGGAGAGGGGGTGCGGGGAGGATGTGACGGGGTCTGGTTAGGACGAGGAGGAGAGGGGGTGTGGGTAAGAGGAGCAGAGGGCGTGCGAGGGAGAAGGGGGGAGGGGGGGTCGTGGCGGGTGTGGGGATAGGGAGCGGGTAAGGGAAGGGGAGGGGGGTTTTGGGGGGTGACGGGAAGGGGAGGAGGCAAGGGGAGGGGGAGGTGCATGAAGTGCGCTGGTGTGGTCAGGAGGGATGAGAGGGGCGATGTTACAGGGGGTGAGATCGGAAACAGTAGTGGCAGCAGTGGAAACTGTAGCAGCTATAGCAGCCATGGCGGCTGTGTCAGCTGTAGCAGCAGTGTCAGCTGTAGGAGCAGCAACGGCTGTGGAAGCAGCAACAGTCGTGGAAGCAGCAACAGCTATGGAAGCAGCAACAGCTGTGGAAGCAGCAACAGCTGTGGAAGCAGCAACAGCTGTGGAAGCAGCAACAGCCGTGGAAGCAGCTTCCGGTTCCGCTTCTGCCGTTGCTTCGTCTGACCCAGCCATCATCCCAGCAGATAAAATGCGGGTCGGGGATTCGACAGCACGTGCAGCAGCCACAGCACCGGCAGTTGCCTGAAACGAATCCAGAGAACCCCGTCTCTTCCCTCCTTCACCCCATCCTTCTATCCCTTCTCTCCCCCATCCGCTTCCACTATCTCCCGCAACCTCTCCCCCGCCATCTCCCGCCTTTGCTCCCCCCTCCTCTCCCACCCCATCCCCTCGCCCATCCCTTCCCTTGCGCCCAGTCCGCATGGTTGGGAGCCGAAGCTTCACTGACGGCCGGGACCACGGCCACACCCCACCTCCCGAGCCTGATCCAGCACCCGAACCTCCGTGCGAGCCTGGCTCCGCACCTGACGCGTCCGAGCCAGTGCGATTCGGGTCGGCAACGCGGGGGGAAACGGGCGGGTGAGGAACGCTGGGTAGGGGGTGGGCAGGAGGAGGGGAGGGGGAGCGGCGATGAGGGGAGGGAGAGCGGTGTTTGGTGAAGGGGAGGGGGAGGATGCGGAGGCCTTTCATGTCCGGAGTGCTGGGGAGAGACATGAGGCGCCGGTGCCGCCGCGGCTTTTGCTCTGCCTGCTGCTGCTGCTGCTGGGGCTGCTGTTGCTGCTGCTGCTGCTCCATCTGTTGCTGCTGAACCTGCTCTAGCTGCAACTGCAGGTGGAACTGCTGAAACACGTTCTCAGACTCTTGCTGCTTATCTGACGGGTGATCAGCCACCTGCACCCCTTCCAACCGCTCTCCACCTGGCATTTCCGCCTCGAAACTGTCTCTGCATGCAGCAGAGCCAGTGCTGGAAGCAGGGGAGGGGCCAGTGGAGGAGTGGGCGCATAAGGAGCGAGCAACTGACATTGACTGGACGGATAAGGATCGTACAGGCATGGGGCGAGCAGCAGGAGAGTGGGCGGCATTGGAATGGCCGGCAGGGGACCGGGCGGCAGGAGAATGGGCGGCAGACGAGGTCTGCGACTGGGGCTGGGGCTGTAACGAGGGTGACTGCAACGAGTGATGGAAGGACCGGAAATCCTCGTTGGTAGTGCTGCGGTGGCGGTGGTGGTGGGGGTGGGCCGGAGGCGTCTTGTTCTTGCGGAGGAAGCGGGAGGAGGAGAAGGAGAGAGAGCCGGAGGGCGGCAGCGGGGGAGGGGCAGCGGACGGGGATGCTGTGGGCTGACCAGGACCCCCACTGCTCCCACCAGTACCCCCCCGTACGCCACCTACGACCCCTCCTTCTCCCACCCCTCCTCCCACCCCTCCTGCACCTCCTGCTCCTCCTGCTCCTGCTGCCCCTGCAGCTCCTGCTTCTGGGGAGCGTTTGGGGAGGCCGAGGTCGTGGTGAGAGGCGCTTCTACGGTGGAACGAGAGGGCTGCTCGCCTCACAAACCCTGCCACCGACCCTCCTCCTCCTCCTCCTCCTCCTCCTCCTCCTCCTTCTCCTCCTCCTCCTCCTCCTCCTCCTCCTCCTCCTCCTCCTCCTCCTCCTCCTCCTCCGCTCTCCTTCCTGCCGCCGCTGCCGCTGCCGCCATTGCCGATGCCGCTGCTGTTGCTGGTGTTGTCAGCTGCGGTGTTGCTGCTGCTGCTGGCGCCACCGATACTGCTGCTCACGCTGATTGAAGCCCGGGGGAAAACTCTTGGTGAGACTGGCACACTTGTCCCCCCTCTGCTTCCTCCTTCTCCCTCTGCTTCCTTGCCTCCCATCAGTTCGGCTCCTGCTGCTGCTGCCATTCCTCCCCCTTCTCCACCCCCTCCTCCTCCTGCTCCGCCTGTCTCCCCTACTGCCTCCCCTGCTGCAGCCTCGGACTGTTTAGGAACGGAGAAGAGGCCTCGCGTGATAGGGGAGAGTAGGGGCATAGCAGCAACAGCACCCACAGAGTGCCTCCTAGCGTGCCGAGTCCTCTCCCTCACACTCCCGCCCAGCCTCTTCCCCCCGCTTATCAGTCCCCCGAACAGCCCCCCTCCGCCACTGCTGCTTCCCCTCACGGATCCCCCTCTGCTGCTTCTCCCAATGCTCCCACCGCTCCCACCACTCCCACCACGCGCACCGCTGCTCCCACCGGCGCTTAGCATTCCGCCAGCGCTTAGCTCGTCACCAGGGCTGAACCCAGGGGGGCTGTTGCTGGTGGCCGGGCTGCTGGCGCAGAGCAGCGCGCGGGGGCTCATCAGGGGGCTCTTCCCCCCGCTGCTCCCGCTGTGCGTGGGCGGAATGACAGGGGGAAGCCCGGGGGAAAGCCCAGGGGAGAGCCCGGGGGAAGGCAGGGGAATGGGGGGAAGGTGGGAGTGCGCGCGGGAGGAGCGAGAGAGAGGGCTGGATCGGGGGGAGCGGTTGGCATAGGGCGGCGTGGTGGTCCCTGAGGGGGAGGCGAAGGCGGAAAGGGGCGGAGGGGGGAGGGCGGAAGCAAAGGCGGAGAGGGGAAGGGAGTCCGCGGGTAGAGGGCTTGTGTTGGGAGTCCCTTGGATCGGCTCTAGCACCATACTGAGTGACCTCCTACTCTCCCTCGCCTCCCTCCCCTCCCTCCCCTCCCTCCCCTCACGCCCCTCCCTCCACTCCCTCCCCTCGCGCCCTTCCCTTCCCTCTCTTCCCCCGTCTCTGCTGCTGAGGCTGCTGCTGCTGCTCCTTCCGCTGGTGCTGCCAATATCTCCGCCAATGCTCCCATAAGCGGCGGAAAACCAGCCTGTTCCGCCATATCCCCCTCCCCCGCCCCCGCTGCTACCCCCAGCAGTCCCACCCCACCCACCGCTTCCCCCCCACCCCCCACTTCCGCCGCAGCCTCCCCCACTCCCCCTGAGGCCTTCCCCGAACGCCCCACGCACGCTCCCTCCTGCCCTCCTCACTCCCTCCCCCTCACCCCCTGCGCCGCCCCCACCCCCGCCCCCCTCCCTCCGCGCGCCTCCCCCCACTCCCCCCCCATCCTGGGAAGCTTCCGAGAAGCTGTGGCTCCTGCTATGGCGAAGGCTCCGCCTTACCGCCCATCCGCTCCCCCCGCCCGCCCCGCCCGGCCCCCCAGGGCCGGAAAGGGGGGCGCCTGGAGGCGTTGACCTGCTCCGCGGAACCTCCTCTAGGGATTCTCCACAGGCGGGGGGAGTGGGGCGGCCGTTATAGGACGCGGAGAGGGGGGCGGAAGGGGGCAGCGGGGGGAAGGGGAGGGGGGAGGGGGTAGAGGCGGAGGAGGAGGAGGACGGAGGACCGAAGGCTCCCCCTGCTGCCGCTGCTCCCCCTGCTGCCCCTGCGCCTGCCCCTATGCCTGAGCCCGCCCCTGCCCCTTCCGCCAGGAATCCTCCCCCCTCGTTTCCGCCCCCCTTGGCGGATCTCCCCCCCAGGTGCACGTCTACTAGGAGGTTCCGCCACGCCCTATAACGGGACTGGGAGGATGATAACGCGGACGGCGACTGGCCTGCTAAATTCCCTTCCGCCCTGCCCGCCCCGCCCGCCTCCCCCGCCCCTCCTATAGGCACCACTCCCCCTGCTCTTCCCCCTTCCGCGGACCCTGCACTGCGGGTCCGGCCAAACGCCATGCTCGCGCCAAACGCCATGCTCGCGCCCCCCTGCGCCCCCCCCTGCGCCTCCCCCTGCGCCACCCCCTGCGCCCCTCTTTGCGCCAACCCCCCTTCCCCCAGCCCGTCAAGGCGCATGTTTAGCTGGTCCTGGGCGGAAAAGGAGGGCGGATAGGCGGAATCAAAGGAGGGCGCATACGCGGAGTTGAAACTCCTAGACCTCAGACCCCCCTGGGACAGCGCCGCCCCTTCCTCCCCCTCATCCTCCCCGTTCCCCACTTCTCCACTCCATTCCTCCCTATTCCCCCGCTCACCATACCCCCCCTCACCACTTCCCCCCTCGCCAATCCCCCCATCACCTCCCCGCCGCCCTGCCGCCGCCCCTGCTGATAAATCTCCCGCGAAATCCACCTGCTGCTGCTGCTGCTGCTGCTGCGGCAGCGGCTGCTGCTGCAAGCCAGATAGGTCCATTCCCCCCAGCGCGTCGCTCCCAAACGCCTGGGACGGCCGCTTTCTAGCCGCCGGCCCCTCCGAGTCCCGAGAATTCGGAGAATTTTTAGAGACCTGAGAGATTTGAGAGTTGTCAAAGTAAGTCTGCTGAATAGCCGAGAGGTCTAACCCTCCCAAGGCATCGCTGCCAAACGCCTGGGACGGCCGCCGCAGCCGGCCCAGGAACCGGCTGACCGTCTGGCTGCCGCCCAGCTTCTTCAACCCTGCCTGCCCGCCGCCGCCCGGTTTCTTTGACCCCCCGCCCCGCACACTGCCGAATCCGAACCCTCCCCCTCCCCCCTCCTCCCCCCTCCCCCTCCTCCGCCTCCACCTCCGCCCCCGCCTCCGCCTGCGCCTGCGCCTGCGCCGCTGTCCCTGGTTTGCGCTCCCTCTTCCCCCTCCTCCTCATCGCTATCATCACTATTCCCGCCCGTGACCAGGCCACTGACACTGTGCCTCCTCCCCCTAACCCTCCCACCCCCTCCCGCTCCTGCTCCCGCTCCCCCTCCCCCTCCCCCTCCCCCTCCTATCCCCCAATCGTCATCCGAATCCTCCTCTTTCCCGTCCCGATCCTCCCCGGCTGCACCCGCTTTCTCCCCCTCAAATTCATCCGGGCTATCCCACGAGTCCACCATGAAACTACTCCCAAAGACCGGCGCAACGAGCGTCTTAATATCCTGCTCGTCGATCACCGCCTTGTCCTTATTCGCCGAATCCGTCGCGTACGACTCGGCGAAGATCCGAACCGCCGGCCCGGACTGGGGCTTCCGGTGCAGTAGGTTTGGGGAGAGCAGCAGGTCGCCCATATCCTCGTTATCAGCTGCCCCGCTACGCAGCAGCTGCCACGCTGCGTGCGCCTGAGCGACTATCTCCATCACCTTGTCCTGCCCCGCCTTGCCCTGGCTCAGCGTCAGCACCTTGGTCTTTTCACCTGGGAAGCAATAAGGGTATGAGAGGTGAAGGGAGTCGAGGAAGAGAGAGGGAAAAAAAGGAATTAGAAGGATGGAATCAAATATTGGCAGAGCAGAGCAGAATCACCTTGTCTTGTCCTGCCCCGCCTTACCCTGGCTTAGCGTCAGCGAGAGGGTCTTTTCTCCTGGAATATTGGGAGGTACGAGGGGAAAGAAAACAGAGGAATTTGAACGAGTTTCGGGTCGACTTTAAAATCAAAATGCACTTCAGAAGCGTCTGCACGATGCCCGCCACGTTCTCGTCTCGCCGCTCAGGTCCTGAAACGATCTTCCTCTATTACCCCCCTTCCCAGCGCCGCAAGCTCCAAATGTCCCCCCCTGAACGGTCCGGTCCATTACTACAAATCTCTCCCACTCTCGCTTTCTCCTCTCGGGCCTCCATCTCCCACCCCACATTCCATCACCCTATCACCTCCGCAGTGCCGGCCGGCGCGCAGCCAGTCGAGAATACAGTCCAGAAGCGTCTGCACGATCCCCGCCACATTCTCGTCGCTCAGGTCCTGTAACGATCTTTTGAGTCGACTCAAAAGTCGCAGCCAGTCGCGAATACAGTCCAGAAGCGTCTGAAAGATCCCCGCCACGTTCTCGTCGCTCAGGTCCTGAAACGATCTTACTCTACTCCCTTCCTCTCCCGCACCCACAATGCGCCACCGTCTCACCTCCGCAGTGCCGGCCGGCGCGCAGCCAATCGCAAATGCAGTCCAGCAGCGTCTGCACGATCCCCGCCACGTTCTCGTCGCTCAGGTCCTGAAACCCCGACGGGTCGTCCGTCGCGATCCCCACCACCTTCCACGAAAGCTGGAACCCGCGTGGATCCACCAGCACGAACGCCGCTAGCGGCTCGACCGCGTAGGCCTCGCCTAACTGCCGGACCTGGCTACCTATGTCGATTAACTCCACGGGACTGTCGTCTAGGGGCAGGTTCCCGAATTCCGGGCAGCGCGTGGACGAGTCGGCCCAGGTTTGCGGGAACACGCCGAAGTTCCACGGGATCGGGTCGGCGAACCTCATGGGTTTGTTATTGCGTAACCGCATTCGCAGCGGCGCGAGGCGTTCGCGGACGGCGACTTCGTAGTCGTCCTGGCAGCCCTTGGGGGTGAGGCAGACGGCGTTGAAGGTTCCGTTGGAAGAATGCAGCGGCACGTCGTGCCACGGAGACACCTCGTTACAAGCATCGTCGATTAGCGTCACGCGGAAAGAGTTTCCTCCTGGCGTTCCCAAGGTTACGGGGATCCACGTGCCGGGGGCTGGAGTGGGCACGTTGTAGACACGCTTTTCACCCGCCTCGTCCGGCTTGCCTGTCCCTGCCGTCTTATCATCCACCTCTTCCTCTTCATCTTCTTCCTCCTCCTCTTCCCCATCCTGTTCGTCATCTGCTTCGTCCTCGTCGCTATCCATTTCGCTTTCCTCTCGCCATTTCTCACCAAGATTAGGATACATTTTTGTATCGTCGACAAGAGCCATGGCTAGATTTTAGTTCTGGCGTAAAGCAACCCCGTTCTATATTCTAATACTAACGCATTTCGCAGGGATAACGCATTTTGCAGGTGCGGCGCATTTGGCACGAGTAGCGCATTGCGCACGAGCCATGCATCGTCATCGACCTACATTGTACCGTGTGCCGTCCTACCGTCCTCACAAGCCATTGCAAGTCCTGGCCGATGGGAAATGGAGCGTACTTCACGGTAGCCAACTAAAGCTGTGCTGTGGCTACCTCGTGAAGAGTACGATGCTCAACTGCTTTTGCAGGTGGCATGGACAGAAACCCTAGTGGCATGTTCATTGCTCAAACACTTGCTGCTCAAATCAGCTACTTACACGGGTTAATCACGGTACATTGTGGTTCAATACGGTAGATTGTGTTATGAGCCTCACCTGAATGATTCTATTCATATCAGTACGCGACCGAAACAGAACCATCATGGAGCAGAGCTGCCTTGCGAGGGTGCGGTGGACGAACATCCCGAGCTGCCCCATTCGAACTGCCACCAGACGACTCTACCGTGTTATTTAGCAACACACCGCACCGTTTGAAAACGTATGTGAAAGGCGTGAAAGCTTGGTCCACACTGCTCACCCTCGCCAGAAATCAACATACATATATTGTTGACGTCTCACTTATAGAAAGTCACCGGGTTGGGGAAACCGGAAAAACAGAGCTGGAAGGAGGCTCCTGGTTGTGGAAAAGAGAGTCAACCAGTGTATATAAACTGTACAGTACGATATGCGAAACCCAAATCTTTTGTTGCATGCGACTGAATTGACGCGTCCTGCCTGCCCACACGACCCACGGCAATCCGCGCAAGCTGGAGCAAGCTGTAGACAGCTAGCGAAAGCGGTGTCGTGTGGTCGTGTAACCCGACGAAACGACAGGAACCTCCGTCCCTGCTATCGCAGATAGATTCATGACGGAAAAACACATGCTGTTGTAATTGGATGAATTTGTATTCACGAAGCGAACGACGAACCATCCGCCATCTGTTTTCAATCCCGTCAAACTGTTTTCGCGATTATTCTCTTTGCAGTACTTCACTGGCGATAAGAGCTTGGCACCCCACACTATGTTACTGTGTATCAGGTTACAGTGCAGCTTGGGAATTCCCACGCATGAATTTGCCAGCCTGGCTTGAGAGGTTCACTATAGGCATGACAGCTTTACATAGCTGCTGCTAGGCTGGCTGTGAGCTGTCTCGCTCGTAACAGCTGCATATTCTTGATTTATATAAGCAAACATAGAGATACTTAGGCATCTTCTCGGATTCACTTCTTCCATACTGTTAGACCTCAAATGTTTCTTTTTGCATGAGGGGTATTTGGTGCTATATATAACATCATTTCTATGCAACTACCGTATGGTGGCTGTGTGTCCAACTGCCTGTATAGTGGAACACATTGCTTCTCGCACCGCCTTATGATTATTAACTGTTAGACAAGCTACTCAGTGTCGCATATTATCCTGTCATAAATTATCCAGTTGGATGCGTTTACAAATGCCGGTTCGGCGTTGCGTGCGGTCAAGTGCCTGCATCCGCATAGGATTGCAATAACAAATACGCATTTTAAGTTATGGTAGACTCGCAAAAAGGTGAGGTGCAAGCAACCACACACAAACAGTAGCTCACATTTCATGGCAGCCCAACCAACCCGGTTGTCCTCCTGGTCGTGAATCACAAGGAAATCCCTCATCCATAGAGCTGCGATAATAGGGAGGGGGGAAGGGAGAGAGAGGATGTTGAGTTGATGGTGGCTCAGGAGGTATCACAGAATGGAAAGCAGGACTGGTTCTTATGCACACAAAAATTAGTTGCAATAAACAATCGCGCATGGGGTACAGGCGAAGGGCAACAGCATGATATGTTCACATGATAAGTCAGCAGATGCCAAAATAATAGTACCACCACTGCGTTGGGAGAGAAATACAAGTACCGCATCACCACGGTGCATGCCTCGGCAGCGCCCAGTGTGCTTTGCTAGCTTGCAATCATGACAAGAGCACCACGCACTGCGAGGTTAGTGTGTGCCAACTGTGTTTTGCCACCCACCGAGCCTTGCCGCTCAATGTGCCTTGCCGCTCAATGTGCCTTGCCGCTCAATGTGCCTTGCAGCTCAATGTGCCTTGCCAGCCACCGTGCCTTGCCGCCCAATGTGCCTTGCCAGCCACTGTGTCTTGCCGCTCAATGTGCCTTGCCAGCCACTGTGCCTTGCCGCCCAATGTGCCTTGCCAGCCACTGTGCCTTGCCGCTCAATGTGCCTTGCCAGCCACTGTGCCTTGCCGCCCAATGTGCCTTGCCAGCCACTGTGCCTTGCCGCCCAATGTGCCTTGCCGCCTACCATGCTGTCCTCGCACCCAGCATGCTGCAGCTCACCTCCGATGATGAAGGCCAGTCCATGAGGGGCCTTCATGGTATCAGACCCCAGCACCACCTGCGTGCACACTATCTCCACCCCCTCGTCCTGGCGTTCGTGGTGGTAAGGGGATTGAAGAGAAATTACTCAAACATTGAGGCGTCTCAGAATGCTTCTTTTATCACCTGAGTGCACACTACCTCCACCCCCTCGTCCTGGTGGAGGGGGGGGGGGGGGGGGGGGGGGGAGGAAAGGAAGGATACACGACCTTTTAGCTGTCTCAAAACTGTTGAGCTCGTTGGGGACCTTCAGGGTGTGTGACCCCAGCACCACCTGCGTGCACACTATCTCCTCCACCCCTCGTCCGGTTGTTGGGATGAATGGGACGGAAACGGAGGGAGGGATGGACTACTGATTTTGAGCTGTCTCAAAACTAGAAGCCATGGTAGCACCATCAGCAGCTAGCCTGGGTATCATGGTGTAGCAGCACGGTGACCATGGTTTAGCCTAAACTATGAAGAAATCACAAGCACAGATGTCTCAAACAGGCACAGCATGACTTTAAAGTCTGTGGCAACACAAGCGTCACTGTGATGTCAAATGCCAAGGAATATCAGCGCTTACCATGGCTTTGAACGTGTACGTGTGGAGTGGCAAATTCATGAACACGCCCATCCCTTCCAAGTACAGCAAGTACAAGTACAGACATCTCAACAGATCCCCATGGCATTTCAGCGCTCACCATGGCTTTGAACGTGTACGTGTGGGGCGGCAAATTCATGAACACGCCCCTCCCTTCGAATTGCAGGTTGATGTGGGGGAAACGGTTCCTCACATCCTCTGCTGTCAGCCTGGCGAAAGAAGAGAGTGAAGGGGAATGGGAAATTGGAGGGGAGGAGAGAGCAGGGGGAGAAGGGGCTTGATGGATCGTTGCAGGTCGATGTGCGGGAAGCGATTCCTGACGTCCTCTGCTGTCAGCCTGAAGTGGAGAGATTGGGGGGAGCGAGCGAGGGGAAGAGGATGCGTGGGAGGAGGAGGGGGTTGGAGCGGGGGTGGTTGGTAGTCGAAGCCGTGGGAAAACTGGGCATGCTGGTTCATAGCAGGTTGACATTGGGAAAGCAGTTCCTGACGCCTTCTGCTGGCTGACTTTTGAGTCGACTCAAAAGTCACCTGGCTGACATTTGAGTCGACTCAAAAGTCGAAGCCGAGGGAAAACTGGGCATGCTGGTTCATAGCAGGTTTTTGACATTGGGAAAGCAGTTCCTGACGCCTTCTGCTGGCTGGAATGGGATGGGTGAATAAGATGCGAGGGAAGGGGAAGCAGAGCATATAGACGCATGCCGTGAACACACACAGCCGTTATCGCACACACACTCACGCATACACGCACCCATTCTCCAACAAACTTACACACACACACACACACACACACACTCACTCACTCGTCGGTGGAGGAAAAGCAGAGCGAGCCCTCCTTGCCAATGGAGAAGGGATAGCGCGGCAGCCCCACTGCCGTCTGGATCTGAGGAGGCCAAGAGGGAGCAAGTGGAAGAGGCATGCAAGGGAAGGACAAGGGAGTGAAGGGTGAGGAGATGGACAAAGCACAACAAAACAGTCCGCCTTCTCAATGGAAAGCACACGATGTGAAATGAGTGAGCTTGAGACGTCGCAAAAACTCGCTCATTTCAAGTGGCATACTGCCTTCAGAGCCAACTCAGGACTGCCCTTGTTTCGATACCTCACAGGAGGTGTTTTCATTTTTCCCAGGAGAGAAACTGGTCACAGTTTTGAGTCGACTCAAAACATACCTCACAGTTTTGAGTCGATACCTCACAAAAGGTGTTTTTTCTTTTTACCCAGGAGAGAAACTGGTCACAGTACACAAGAGTTGCCTTCTGACTTAATCATGGACGCTTGGATATGGACTCACAAGGTGGAAGAGAGGCGGGACAAAGAGAGGCGGCATGATGGAGTAGGTGGTGCCGCTGTCAAAGATGGCATTGCCGTGGGTCAGGTTGCCATACTGCGCTGGATTCACCGCCACCTCTATTCCCCCCACAAACACCTTCCTCAGTGTCACTTTGTAGAAACTGAGGGCCGGGGGCAGGGGGTCAGGGAAAAGGGGGCAGAGGAGGAAAGAGGGAAGGGCACAAGGAAGAAAGAGCTAAGATTGCCGTGCTGCGCTGGATAAACATAAGTGTTTTAAGACGTCTCAAAACACTTCTGTTTAAAGGGGGCAGAGGAGGAAAGAGGGAAGGGCGCAAGGAAGAAAGAGCTCAGATCAGATTGCCGTACTGCGCTGGATTCACTGCCGGGAGTTTTTTAGAATTCTCAAAAACTCATTGCCGTACTGCACTGGATTCACCGCCGTTCTGCGCCTTTGCAGGCAGGCCGCCTGTGGTGGATTCGCAGGCATCTCCATCCCACCTGCGAACACCCTCCTCAGAGTCATTGTGTAGAAGCTGCAGAGCGGGGGGAGAGGAGGATAGGTGCAAGGAAGGACGGCAGAGGTTGCAGTGCTGGCTGGCTTAACTGCCACCTGCGGGCCAGGCCCCCGCTAGACACTTCCTCAACGCCACTTTCGACAGGCTGACATGAGGGGGGCATAGAAGCAACCATAAATACCTGTTTTTGAATCGACTCAAAAACAGGCTCAGGCACTTTCTCAACGTCACTTTGTGCAGGCAGGCTGACACGAGGGGGCCTGGAAGCAACCATAAAAACTCGAACTCCCCAAGCCAAATCGCAGCACTGACGTTTCATTTCATGTGGTCCCAGGGGCGTGAAGGCAGTGAGAGCAGGGATGGGCGGACATTCCAGGCGCCTAGAGAGAGACACCAAAAACAGACAACCTCAGAGCAAGGTAATAGTAGTACTCACGTTTCATCTGGTCGCAGGTGACTTTTGAGTCGACTCAAAAGTCACCTCGCCTAGAGAGACACCAAGAATCACAAGCTCAGAGCAAGGTACCAGTACTCACGTTTCGTCTGGTCGCAGGGGTGCAATCGAGCCCCACTTAGAGGCCATGGTCAATACGTGGCAGCAATCTCTTGATTTGAGACACCTAGGTACCAGTACTCACGTTTCGTCTGGTCGCAGGTGACTTCTGAGTCGCCTAAAGAGACACCAAGAATCACAACCTCAGAGCAAGGTACCAGTACTCACGTTTCGTCTGGTCGCAGGGGTGTGAAGGCGGTGAGAGGCGGAATGGGAAGGTCCCCCACTGTCATCCACCCACCTCCGCCATCGCCCCCCAGGCAATGCGCCACCACCTGCCTGCTCGCCAGAGGGAGGACGAGGGGAGAGGGGAGGAGGAGAGAAAGGAGGTGAGGAGGGAGGAGAGGAAAGGGGAGAGGAGGGGTGAGAGGAAGGGGGATGAGGGGGAGGGTCACCCACTGTCAACCACCCACCTACCCCATCGTCCCCCAGGCAATGCGCCAGCACCTGCGTGCTCGCCAGAGGGGTATGGGACGGGATGGATGGAGGGAGAAGAGCAAGAGGTAAGAGAGGGGGGATGGGAAGGTCCCCCACTGTCATCCACCCGCCCCCCCGTCGCCCCCCCGTCGCCCCCCCGTCGGCCCCCCCGTCGCCCCCCCCGTCGCCCCCCCCGTCACCCCCCCCCCCCCCCCCCGCCGCCCCCACCGTCGCCCCCCAGGCAGTGGGCCACCACCTGTTTGCTCGCCAAGGGGCAGGGGAAGAAGAAAAGAGGAGAGGAAGGAAGAGAGTGAAAGAGATGGAACAGCTGTGAGCAAGGAGAGGAGAAAAAACGCTCGTCAGAGGGCACTGAAGGGAAGAGGAGAAAACGGCTGTGATCAAGGAGAAGTGACCCTTTTGAGAATTCTCAAAAGTCGCACCAATGATCAACGAGAAGTGGAAGTGATCCCCTGCCCAGCCCTATGAGCCCGTCACGAGCCTGATAGTACGTCCAAATGCACTCTACCTACCACCTGCACCGCACTGAACCACATCTCACCGCACTGAACTATATCATACCGTATGGGGAAGAACTCCTTGTAGGCCCCAACAGCAGTGAGCAGAGAGAGCGTTCCCCTGCCCAGTCCTATGAGACCGTCTAGGGCTCTGGTAGTACATCCAGCTGCACCGCACCTACCTGCACCGCATTAAACCATATTTCACGGCACTGAACCACATCTCACCATTCTGAACTAGAACGTACCGGATGGGGAAGAACTCCTTGTAAGCTCCGACAGCTGTGAGCAGAGAGAGCGACCCCCTGCCAATCCCTTCGAGCCCGTCTAGAGCTCTGGTAATAGGTTCAGCTGCACTACACCTACCTACCATCACCACAATGAACCACATGTCACCGCACTGAACCACAGCTCACCGAATGGGGAAGAACTCCTTGTAAGCTCCAACGGCTGTGAGCAGAGAGAGCGACCCCCTGCCCAGCCCTATGAGCCCGTCTAGCGCCTGGTAGTAGGTCCAGCCCAGGCCGTTGTAAAAGTTGCCCTGCTGCGAGTTCCCACAGCTGTTGATAGCAATGGGCCGAGAGGGGAGGAGAGGGATGGGGAGAGGTGGGGAGTGATGTGGGGAGGGGTAATGGTAGCCCTATGAGCCCGTCTAGCGCCTGGTAGTAGGTCCAGCCCAGGCCGTTGTAAAAGTTGCCCTGCTGCGAGTTCCCACAACTGTCGCGATGGGCGGGTGGAGAGAGGTAGGGAGGGATGAGAGGGAGAGGTGGGGAAGGGGACCGTGGGATAACGGCAGTCACATACGCCCTGCCATCTGTCCACAGGGAGACAGAGGCGCTTGTAACGTAGGCACATGTTACTAAAGCGCACGCTACACAGGCACATGCTATGCATGCACATGTTACAGACACACTTACAAGAGGCATATATGACACAGGCCAGGCACATATAACACAGACACACATAACACAGTCACACATAACACAGTCACACATAACACAGTCACACATAACACAGTCACACATAACACACAGGCACACTTAACAGTCACATGTTACACAGTCACGTGTTACACAGTCACATGTTACACAGTCACATGTTACACAGTCACATGTTACACAGTCACATGTTACACAGTCACATGTTACACAGTCACATGTTACACAGTCACATGTTACACAGTTACATGGTACACAGGCACATACCCAAAAGTGATGGGAACTTTGAAGGCCCGAGCAGACCCTGAGATGGGCAGATGGATGACGTCACCAAGCAGGCGTCCTGACGTCCCACTCCCATCCCCATACGCCACCGAATACATACACCCCAAATCCTCCCCCGAACCTCCTGCCGAGCCTGCTGCCGAGCCTTTAGCCAGAGGCTTGGCGGTGACGTTGCAGTTGCGGATCTTGACGGTTCGGTCGGGGTTGATGCACGCTTTGTTGGAGCATTGAAGGAGCTTGACTGAGGATGACTTGGCAGAGTCGAAGGGCGGGTTGGTTTGCTGTCATACGGGGAGGGGAGAGGGTGAGGGAGGATTGAAGTGATGATGTAAGGTCAGGTCGGGGTTCATGCAGGCCGTGTTGGAGCACTGAAGGAGCTTGACTGAGGTTGACTCGGTGGAATCAAAGGGCGGATTGGTTTGCTGCCACACGGGGAGAAGGGACGGGAGTGAGGGAGGGAGGGGGAACAGGAGGTGAGGGAGGGGGAGGGAGGGAGGTAGCGGGGGGAAAGAGGGAAGGGGGAAAAGACGGAGAACGGGAAGGAGGGATGGGGAACAGGAGCGGAGGGACCGGGGAAAGGAGCGAGGGGGGGGGGGGCTGGGGAAAGGAGCGCGGGGGGGGGGGGGCTGGGGAAAGGAGCGCGGGGGGTGGCTGGGGAAAGGAGCGCGGGGGGGGGGTGGGGAAAGGAGAGCGGGGGGGGGAGTTTGAGTCAACCCAGAAGTCACAACAACCGGTCGACTCGCCAAGAGCCGACTCACCAGAGTCTTAGAGAGCGTGCAGGGGTTGCAGGGCAAGCAGTTGATCCAGAGCAGGTTGCTGCCCGTGTCTATGTCCAGGTTGAACGTCTGTGGCGGCGTGCCGATGCCGAGCTGCACGTAGTATATGCTGCGTGCGGGGCGGATGGGAAGCCGGGTTGGGGGGCGGATGGGGAGCCGGGTTGGGGGGCGGATGGGGAGCCGGGTTGGGGGGCGGATGGGGAGCCGGGTTGGGGGGCGGATGGGGAGCCGGGTTGGGGGGCGGATGGGGAGCCGGGTTGGGGGGCGGATGGGGAGCCGGGTTGGGGGGCGGATGGGGAGAAGGGTTGAGGGGCGGAAGAGAGGATGTGCAGGGAGAAGGGGGAGGGAGGGCGTAAGTAATCAAGCAGCTGAGCCAGAGCAGGTTGCTGCCCGTGCCTATGTCCAGGTTGAACGTCTGAGGCAGCGTGCCAATGCCGAGCTGCACGTAGTATATTCTGGGCGCGGGGCGGATGTGGAGGGGTGGATTAATGGGGAGGATGAGGAATGAGAGTGGATCACAAGGGGGGAGGATGGGGAGTAAGGGTTGGGGAGACGGGAGGTAGTGGTGAGGACGGGCAGTAAGGGTGGGGAAGACGAGACGCAGAGGGGGTGATGGGGAGTGAGGTTGGGTTGAGAGAGGTGCATCAAATAGGCAGGCAGATGACCCAGGGCAGAAGACCCAGGGCAGATTGCTCCTTTGCGAAGATAGCTCGGTATAGTGGATACCGATTGAGTGACTTTTAAGGATGCTGTAAGGGTAAAGGGAAGTGCCTACCCGTTAGGGTAAGTGGCCCCCAGCAGCCCTGCCGTAGCCGTTATGCCCAATTTCCTCCCACGATGGTTACCACTAGGGTTACCATCATCAGCACCACCAGAACCAGCACCACCTACTCCTTCTCCTCCTTCTTCTCCTCCACTCATTTCACCCCCTCCTCCCTCCAACCCGCCCTCCCGCCCCTGAACCATCAACATCCGTGACCTGTGTCGAGCCTTGTCACTCTCCACTAGCGACAAATAATGCTGCCCAAACGCGTGCCCAGCAGACGAGTTCTCCTGCGAGTTCCACGAAGCCGCAGAAGCCGCCGCTGACGTGGCAGGCCTGGCCACCGGAAGGGACGAGGTCGCGGGAGGTTCGGGGGGCGGACGGGAGTGGTCCGGCGGGGAAACGGAAGCGGCGGTGGTGGCGACGGAAGGACGAGCAGCTAATCGGCTGTTAATCCGCAAAACGTGGAGCCCGTGTACGCCGTCGATGAGATCAGCGAACGCATGCGGACCCTTCCGGCCGTCCGCCGCGCTTTTCTCGGCGGTTATGTCGGGGAATGGTCCAGCGGAGGCGCGGCGTTCCGAGCAATCCTCGGAGGTTCCTCCAACCATGCAGCTTGAAAGACCACCGAAATGCTCTTCAGTAGTACTACTATCCACGTTAGTGCCAGGCATGTTATACGATTCGTGAACGGGCACTGGCGACGCCGTGGTGATCGTCATTGTGGGATATAACAAGCCTGTGGCTAGGAATGCGACGAATAAGCATGATGGGAGGTTCTGCGAGTGACAGAGAGAGTGACGTCTTCGCGATGGACTTGACGTGAGGGGTCTGGTAGACGGTCTTGAAAACATTATAGTAGACCGTTTTAAGGAGAGGATCGAGGTATTGTTGAACAAGTAGTGTATGCGACCTGCGCTGCCAGTTTCTGTTCTTCTCCCTTGTGTTTTGTTTGGGACCTCGGACGAGAGGAGGTAGACTGGCTTTCTGAAGCTACCACGATCAGCACACCTAGTAGTGGCACCCATTGCAAGACATTTCATCGAGAATCAGTCTCATTATAATATAAATAAAAGAACGAGTCAGCGTCACTGTCATGCCTTGGCCTACGAATACGCCAACGCTACCACCTTGGGTGGGGAAGGGCTACTGGAATATGTCGCATGAGGGGAGGTGCTAAGGACTCCCTCAACGGATATTAGACAGAACGACAAACAGATACTAGGTGACTGCGATATTATGCTAGGAAAGTGATAGTGAGGAGGACCCCAGTTCCTACTCAATTCATACTTGTTTTCCCTCACCGTGGATCCAACAACTGAGCTTGATGATAGTCATCGTGAAATTGGCATTCCCAGTGCCGTGGCTCGCGCCGTGGTAGTTCCCATGCACCGAGATCCATTTTGATTCAGTTCGGTGGTTCTCCCTAGTGTCACCTGGGAGGAGAGTTGTTCGAATCCAGTTCCTCGTCCAATTGGAACGCCGATTGCAGAATGCCAGTCGCGACTCCACCCACTAGCATGTCAGAATGTCAGTACAATTTTAACCGCAATACAAAATGATTCGCTATCTTAGGGAAACTTAGCAAACATCGATTTCTATATAATATTTTTCCATATGTTGAAGGCAATCGCTAAGTAATTATAGATAAATATTATCTTACATTAAATCAATGAATTTAAAAATATAATGACCCTTATGAAACGAAATCTTTATGCAAGGTTTTTGCATCCTTTTCCAGGATATGCGAACCATACTATAGCTTTCCCGTAAAGCATTTATATAATGCATATACCGTTTTTAGTTCCCAACCTGAATGATTGCCATGAAGTTTGACATCCATGACTTGTTGACTACCAATCAAAATGGCAGATAATAATATGTCATCCTGCCAGCGCACCTCGACGAATGGTCCTGCTAGTTTCTAGGGCAGCGTCTCATCCAATCGTAAATCAAGATTCAACGCGCAATCTCACGTCCCTACCCAATCAAACACGTGCCAGAGCCTTCATCCGCGATTGCCCGTCTCCGCGGCTTCCAAAATCCTTGGGCTGCTGACGACCGTTGCTCACACGAGACGGGAAAACCAACAGATTTCAGGGGCTGCTGGTCCCACGTTTTCTTAATTTCCTACGTATTTTTTTTTAAGATTCAATTCAACACTGGAAAATCTGTCTGTTTGTTGTGGTGGCCTCCAACTCCGTAATTTCCTGTTTCAAACCAGATAAAACCAAGTTTCTCGGCTGCCCGTCGATTCCCCATCGTATCCTCTAGTGCGCGCTTCGCCAACTCCCAGCGTCAGAATTGTGCACCTACCTCGCCTCTCCCTCCCTCCATCCCATTTCCAGTGCTCCTTCCTCCCGTCTCCAAACTTGCTACGTTGGAATTGGGGGCTTATTTGTACAGCTTTAGTTGGGTGCACGTGATCCAGCACAGCAGCTGCTTGAGGTTATTTCCTCCACCTCCATTTTCTCACAACCGTCTTGTTTCGCACCACAGGCACCACCGTCCAACTCAAGACGGATTATTAGCTTCTAAGTGGTTCGTCCACGTTAACACCTGTGTGCTGCCTTCTCACAGCCGTGTGTTACCACGCGCGTTGACCGTCCGCCGACTGAGGCGCGTTTAATAGCACGCGCCAAGCGTGTGGAGAGCGACAGCACCGCACCGCGCTACCCGAAGTTTCTCCCCCACACCTTCCTCATCCGGTCAGCAGTCTTTGGGTGAAGCGCACTTGAAGCAGAAGAAATAGTGCGTCTTCAAGAGCCAGTTCCACTATATAAGTTTACCACCATACCGCTCCATTACCGTCGTTCCACAGCCGTGACGCCCTCACACTCGACTCGTATAAGTCACCTGGACACTTACTGGCCTCGTAACTGCATCAAATCCACCTGACGAATTTACAGCCACCGGGAAGCCGAGCATCAGAAAACTCGCGCTCCCTTACCATCTCCACGCTTCTTGCCATCAGCCGCTCCTTCGTATCACGCTTCTTGCCATCCGCGCTTTGGATTCTGACCTCCGACGCATAAATTCGGAAGTTTGGTATCTAACCATGGCGGCTACAGCAGCTGCAGGCTCCAAGCACCACCTCCTCCGCCCGCTACCCTCGCCCGCCGCGGCGGCTCGTCTAACTCCTGCGAGAATGGCAGTGACGCTGTCTGCGACGCGTGGCGCATCGAAGCTTCCCGCCGTCCGCGCAACTGCTGCGCCACCCGCGGGGAAGCAGCAGTCACCTGCAACGGCGGGGCCGGCGGCTCAGTCGCAGTTCAGCTCCGACCCAGCGACGATGTCCCACAGCACGCGCGGTAGCAAGGACTCCGCGATTCGCGCGGCGCCGTCATTATCCGTCATCGAGTGTGACGTCACTTCCCCCGACGTTAACGGAAACGGAGCCGCTAACGGAGCATCTGCCTCCGTGTATTCGTCGAAGCAACAGCTGGAGCTGGAGATCCTGCCTTCTTTCGTGCCGCAAGAGCTCACAGCCGCAGCAGACATCTCAGAAGCCTTTCTCTCTCCGGAATCCTCCGCACTTCTGTCGCTGCCGGTACTCGAACCCGCGACCTCTCCGCAACGGCAACGGCCCGAAGCGGAGGCGGCGGAGGAACGCGGTAACAACAGCAGCAGCGCTGAAGTTACGGATGATGCGGGAAAAGAAAACGAGGACGAATGCTGGCGCAGGCTGATGGCGCGGGCTGGGTACTCGAAGCGTATGGAGGCAATCAGCGATCAGTTCTTTGAATCGGACTTGCGGCCTGTCGTCCTCTTCGATGGTGAGACCGCAAGCCTCGGACTACCATGTTTGATGCAAAATTGAACCTTAATCTGCTTCATTTCTTCACAAAGCCATGCCCGTTTGCGCCGTCTCCTTCCGCTCTGTCTACTGTCCTTGGCGAGTCTGACACCCATGATCTTTATCTTCTCTCGTCTCTCGTGCTGATGTTTATCCTGCGCGTCGTCCGGTTTCCAGGCGTGTGCAACCTGTGTAACAAGTGGGTCAACTTTCTTCTCGACTATGACCCCCACGGGTAAGACGCCGCTTCTGTCTTGCTGTCTTCCCCCAAGCCACCGCCTCTCTGCATCTTTTTCATTCCCTTGGTCTCGTTACTCCCTGTTCTCCGCGTCCCCCACTCCCCCTCCTTCCTCTCGTCCCCTTATATTCCCGCTCCTCCCTCACCACCTTCGCTTCGTGACCGTCATCGCCTCGGCCATCTTCCTCGCATCGCGCTTTTCGGTACCACAGTTGTTTCCTTCCCGCTAACTGCATCTCCCCCTTCAATGTTGAACTCACCCAATTTTCGTGTCTTGTCGTTTCCTTGCTTTCTCCTGCAGCAACCTGCGCTTCGCCTCGCTGCAGGGCGACTCGGGGAAGGCCCTACTCCGTCGCGCAGGTCGTGACGAAAACGACCACTCGGACATTGTCCTCGTCGCACACAACAAGTGAGTTTCACGCGTGTTTTTCGGCTTATACCGCGTACAATCTACAAAGTGTTTTTGTGGTGCCTCAAAATCAGCAACCAGTTCAAACATGTTTCTTGCTTCAGCACATGTAGCCCATCGCTTACCACCAAAGTACCCGAATCAGAGCACACACATTTTCACATGCGCTCATTCAGGCACCCAAGTCCCCCCTTGGAACATTCTGCAGCTCAACACCCTCTCGTTACCATCCGCAAATCCTCTTGCACTAACCCCCCCCTTCAACCTTCCACCCTTCTGCCCTCCCCTTCCAGGGCCTATTTCGGCTCTGACGCAATCCTCCAGATCTTCTCCCGGCTGAAGCCACCTTTCCCTTTGCTGGCCGCCGCAGGCCACATCACGCCCCACGCGCTCCACAATTTCATCTACAAGAACGTTTCTGAAAGCCGGTACACGCTCTTTGGCAAGGCCGATGCGTGCCGGCTGTTTGACCCCCGCTTCGGGCAACGCTTCTTGCCTAGTGACCTGAGTCAACAGTAATAAGCTGGGTAGTCGAATGCAGCTGGGCTGTCCTAATACCACCCCACCAAGTGATATTCCATGCAGCCTGGAGCATATTTATTGGAGGGGGGTGTTTCTCCTGTGGTGGTCTGTCGGCTGTGGCTGTATATACTCCATTGTGGTTTTGGGAGGGACATGTACGCAGTCTCTGGGTGCAAGGCAGTCCGTCTGAGTTGTTGACGGCTTAGAAGTCTGCCTAGATTTATGCATTTTCTTTCCCGTTGTTATTGCAAGGGTTTCCTTCAAACACATAAACTGCAAGAGGCCATTCTTTATATAAGAGTTGATTGAATAAGAAAGGGTTGAATAAGCCAATGCAAGGGTTGTTGAATAAGAAAGCCTTGAACCACCTTGCGCTGGTATGTGAGGGCAAAGTAAGTTAATTAAAACAGGCAAATACAAAGCTTTATATAAGAGTACAAGGAATACGAATAGATGTAAACGAATAGATGTAATTAAACTACCTTGCTGTTGCGATTCGATACAGTGCGACTCGGGCAACTGCTCAATGTCGGGTCAGTTGTGTGTCCTTGCTGTCGCGCTGTATTGGTCAAGTCAAAGGTCGCTTGACCTTAAACCTTCGCGTAACCTCCAGGCGGTTACCCTAACCTCCGAGGGTTGACTCGCGATGCTTCGATTTGAACTTCTTCGCTTTGTGTCCTGAGTTTCGACACGACAGAGGCGCTTAACTTATTTGTTCCCAACACTCCCCTTCGCTTCTGGAGTGTCGCTGATGGTGACGTGGCTTTGTCCAGTCAGCAGCATGCAGTACTCGAACTTCTGTTTTCCAAGTTTCTTAGTCAAGTAGTCGGCTGCCATCTCGGACGTGGGACAGTAGGATAGATCGAGTTTCCCTTTCTCGATTTCGTCTTTCACGAAAAAGTATCGAAGGGCGATATGCTTCGTTCTGTTCGCGAATCCGCTCTTGTTGGCGATGCGAATTGCGGATTGGTTGTCGCAGAACAAGGTGAAGTTGGGTAACTCGGCTAACTTTGCTTCTTCCAGCAGCTCGCGAAGGTAGAGTCCTTCCTTGGTGGCTGAGCAAAGGGCGATATATTCTGCTTCAGCTGAGGAGAGAGCGATTAGTTCCTGCTTACTCGACTGCCAGGAGATAGGTCCGATAGGCTCTAGACGATAGACGTAGCCAGTGCGAGAGCGCCTGTTATCTGAGTCGCCGGCATGGTCGGCATCGACGTAGCCGATTAGTTTCGTTGACGTAGCTTCGTTCTTGTAGTAGGTCAGGCCGATCGTCGGCGTGCTCACGAAATAGTGCAGTGCGCGATCGAGCTCCGCCAGGTGCTCTGCTTCGGGTTTCTTGAGGTAGGTAGCGAGTTGGCTTGCGGAGTAGGATAGATCCGGGCGACAGGTGACGGTTGCAAAGAGGAGGCAGCCTAGTTTCCTCTGGTAGTCTCGTATTCCGGCAGCTTTGAGTGGAGCGGATTTTCCTTTGTCATCTCCTGCCGTGTAGCGGTATGGCGTGGCGATAGCGGTAGGTGTGAGTGAAAAACGCTTGGCGATCGTGTCGGCGTATTTCTCGGCGCTTAGATAGATCGCATTTTCTTCTTCGCGGATGTTGAGCCCGAGGTACTGCGTGACGGTAGAAAAGACCATGAGCGTGAGGTCCTTTTGCAGCTCCCCTTCGAACCAGGTGGTGACGTCGTCGGTGGAGCCGATGTAGAGCAAGTCGTCAACATAGACTATCAGCAGGATGTAGTCTGCGTCTTTGGTGAGTCGGTACATCCCTTGGTCGTGAGGTAGTTGACGAAATCCGATGCGAGTAAGGCGGGTGTGTAGGTGCTGTTGCCACAGCCGTGGTGCTTGTTTGATTCCGTAGAGAGATTTCAGTAGCTGACAGACCTGATTGGGGTTTCCGTGGGTACCGTGTGGGAGTTCGACGAAGATTTCGGCGTCGACGGGTGCGTAGAGGAATGCATTGGCGACATCAATTTGTCGCAACTTCTTCTTGTTCATGGCGGCGACGGCGAGAAGGATTCGGAGAGAGGTATGTCGACTGACTGGGGCGAATGTCTCGGTGAAGTCTCGTCCTTGCTCCTGATCGAATCCACGCACGACCCAGCGTGCTTTGAATTTCTCGATCGTGCCGTCTGCTTTCGTTTTGATGCGGAAGACCCATTTCCCGATGAGAATAGTCTTGTTCCTTGCCACGCTTGCGGGAACAACCTTCCAGGTGTTGCGTTTCTCCAATGCCTTTAGTTCTCTGTCCATGGCTTCACGCCATTTCTCCCTGTGTTCCCCCCCCAGAGCCTGCTGAACCGTCGCAGGCTCCTTAGGAAGCGCGTTGCCGTGCACTGCGGTGACGAGGCCGAGGATTTGCAGCCCAGTCTGTGAGTATCGGGGGAGTGTTGGATCCTCGGGATAAGCTGCTTCGTCTCCCGCTTCTGGATCGGGTATGAAATTTGGCCCTATCCGTTCTGCTTCATTTGTGTTGACTGTCGCAGGTGTTACGTAACCGTTGTCGGCGAAGTGATAGAAGACTTCGGCGTTGGCACTTTCGCGAGGATTTTCTTCGTCCATGGGGACGTTGACGGAGCAGAACGGGAGAGGCCCTGCTTCTTCAGATGCGTTGTCGACGTTCTGCTCGTCCCAGTCTGCTTCGTCTGCTGTTGAGGCGAATGCTCGGTCACCACGAAAGCCACCTGTGGGGTCTTGATTCTCGTGCAAGTTGGCGAGGTACGTTTGAAGGGTGAGTCGCCCGTAGAAGATCACATCACGTGCTGCTACTGTTTCCTTTGAGTGGACGTCGAAGATTTTCCACGCGTTGTAATTTTTCTAGATGCCGAGGTGTAGTCCCCACTGTGCCCGTTGTGAAAATCTTCCCGCTCGTGCTTCTGGGGGTCGGTACTGTACCATGCACCCGAAAACTCGTAACATTTTTGTGCTGCCCTGCTTCCCTGTCCACACCAGGTGCGGTGATGCGTTGTTCGGGAGTGACGACGACGTCAGCAAGTTGTGCAGCATGACAGCATGGTACATTGCTGCAGGCCACTGGTGGTTGGGTAGCCGCATGCCACGTAACAGTTTGCGCATGCTGTTCTGCAGAGTCCTGTTCATTCGTTCTGCGACACCTTGCTGCTGATGGGCGTAGGGAAGGGAGAGGAGTTGCTTGATTCCCCTTTCCGCCAGGTACTGCTTGAAGCGCCGAGAGGTGTATTCTCCTCCTCCGTCTGACTGGAAGCTTTTCAGCTGTGCTCCCGACTCTCGTTCTGCTACTGGTAGCCAGGCGGCGAACGCTGCGAGTGCCATGTCGCGGCTTGGTAGGTTTAGATGCCAGACATATCGAGTGGCGGCGTCGATGAAGGTAATCGTATAGTTGTAGGTGACTTGTCCTGGTTCGCGATTGTAGAGGATGTCGCTGTACACCTTCTCGAGTGGTGCGTACGCCGGTGCGCTCGGGTTGTGGTGAGAAGAAAACGGTCGATGGTGTAAGTCGGCTTCGGGGCAGATAAGGCAAGTTCCTCGTGCACGTTGAAGTTCTCTGCCGTCGGGTAGTAGTAGCGAGTCCTGGTCTAGAACTCCTGCTCGAATTGTGTTATTTAACACTGTGTTGCTTGGATGTCCTGTGCGTGCGTGCCAGATGTCTTCAGGAGCGCGGTGTCCGGGTGAGCGTTGATACGCGTCGGAGTTGGAGTAGAAGCTGGCGACGAAGTTTGCACTTCTGTGGGCTTCTCGTGGAGTTGGTTTCAACTGTTGTGCGGGTGTTGGTGGTTCTTCGTCGACGAGGACTGGTGTCGTTGTTCCTGCTGCTGCTGCCGATGTTGTCTCTGCTGCTGCCGATGATGTCTCTGCTGCTGTCGTTGTTGTTTCTGCTGCTGCCGATGATGTCTCTGCTGCTGTCGTTGTTGATTCTGCTGCTGCCGATGATGTCTCTGCTGCTGTCGAGTGTTGTATTGTTGCTAATGCGCGTGTTCGTTCTGCTTCAGGTATGGTGTGCGAGTACCAGAAGCCTCCCGGGCTGAAGTCGGGATCGAGATCCGGGGGATGTGTCCAATCGGCTAGGTTGACGATGGCGTCGCTATCTGCAGTGCCCAGGTCGGGGACAAAATCGAGGACGAAGACGTTGTTCTTCAACACCGCCCTTCCGATGTAGAGGCCGCCCTTCCCGTGGTACAACTTGAACTCCTGTGTAGTGCTGTCGGCTTCCAAGTGAATACCTTTCGCCATCAGGTGGCTGACACTCAGTAAGTTATAGCCGAGTCCCTCTGCGATGAGTACCTTTAACATGTGTAATATGACATTTGTCTCTCGTGACTGAAGCTGTACCACTCCTTGTCGTCGTGTGCGCAGGTTCTGATTGTTGGCGACCGTGATGACTACTTCTCGCTGGAGTCGATGCTCGCGTTGAACGAAGCGCCCGGAGGAGCACATATGTTGTCCGCAGCAACTGTCCAGGAACCAAGTGTCTTGGCCGGACGGTTCGCTTTGAGCAATGGCGGCGTATGTCGGATTCGGTTGGAGTGACGCGCGGCGAGGCGTCCTGTTATCGAGCTCTTCTTCCGGTGAGTAGTGGGGTGGTGATACTGTTGTGCAGGAATCGGTTATCTTTACCATGCAATTGACAATATTTCTTGCTCCTTGTGCAGGTTGTCCAGTTGAAGTCGTTGAAGTTTGGATTGTGGTCGTCGGATTTGCTTGCGTTGAAGCAACTTGGGAACTTGAAGGTCGGAGTTGTCGCTGTTGTGTCGTCGACTGCTGACGGGACGGGCAGTGTGTGCGAGGATGACCCGAGGTCTTGGAGATGTGACAAAACGGAGGTACCATCTTCACTTGTTGCTGTTGTCGATTGTTGTTGCCGTTGTATCGTCGCTGAGTGTGAAATGCAAACTCCGGTGCTAATGTTTTCTTCTTGTGTCTTTCTTCTTGCAGGTCCATGTCCTGCTGCTCGGCGTGGATTTCGGCGCAGAGTGCCGCTTCGGAGATCCTCCCGTGTGCTCGTAATATGGCGCGAGTGGAGCGCCAGT